TGTGTGTGTGTGTGTGTGTGTGTGTGTGTGTGTGTGTGTGTGTGTGTGTGTGTGTGTGTGTGTGTGTGTGTGTGTGTGTGTGTGTGTGTGTGTGTGTGTGTGTAACAAACAAAAAAAGAATGACTTTGAGGGAATAAGTCATTTTGACTATTATAAATACCCAAATTAACTACAAAGGACTTTTGAGTAAAACACTATCTGCATCCAGAGAAAGAACTGATAAACATAAGTATGTATAGAATAGTTTTGCATATATATATACCTATTTGTCTAATGGTAGCCATGTGGGGGATGGGGGAAGAAAAAAAAGGAAAAAATAATTTACATAACTTCATTATATATTTAAAAGGAATAGCAAGTTATATGTAATAGATTTGCAATTTCATGTGCAGGCATCTTTTTTTATTATACTGTGTTATGGAATTGCTTGTTTTATTCCATAGCTTAAAAATAATTTTTTAAAAAAAGTCTTCAATGCTTATGTAGATTATTTTTGCAAAAATTTTGCAGAGATAGGAAAGATGGCATATGGGACAGGAAAAGAAGGTGTGATTTAGTTCAGTTTAACATGCTTTTATAAAGCAAGCCAAATCAACTAGCATTTATTATATTCTAGTCACCTAACATGGGAAAATCATTGTGCTAGGTTTTAGGGAATGAAAGACAAAATGAAACAGCTCCTGCCATCAATTTGTTGATAATCTAATGGATAGGAAACATCAAATACACAGATAAGTGCCTGCTTTGGTGGGAGCTAAGGATGGCTTCTTAGTAGGGGAAAGGATAACACACAAGTAACTGTAATGCACAATAATACATAAAAATGTGTTAAAGAGGTGCAAAATGGAATCTGTTGAATGATCTGACAAGGGAAACTCCTAAAACCAGGGAAATCAATCAATTGCAAGATTTGTCAACTGATCAGATAGATGGTATAAGAGAGGAAACACATATTAGCACATTTTGCATTACATTTATTTTGCATTATATTACACATTAGACATAGATTATACATGTGTAAGGCAGAGATTATGAACTTGAGACATTAATCACTCACCTATTGTAAGGATCTTATATAATTCCTCTGGACTCATGTCCTACTGTTACTCCTGGAAACTAGATGACTTCAGAAACTCATAGACCTTTGCTGGAGTGGGCAGCATTTCTGAGAAGGGTTTTTTTTTGTTTTTTAAAGATATAGATTATACCCTGACAAAATATTATGGGGCCTCTATCCTCTATTTCATGTGAGTGGATTTCAATAGCCATTCATCTATGAAGGGACCTACCTTCAAGTTACCATCTCAGATCCCTTTTACAATTTTTGCCCTACTCTTCCTCATTTGTCTCAGACAAGTTGAAGAAACAAAGAGACTGTTTTTCCTTCTCGTCTCAAAGGCAGTCTTGGCTGAAGTTAAGTCTCCAGCTTCTGTGTCTTGCCTGCCTTTTCTATTACAGAGTCAGGACCCTCTTGAGTACCCACCCTCTCTTCCCCTGGTAATAAAAACCCACTTATGAGGTAGAGTTTTATCCCTGAATTATTAATTCATTTCTTACTCCTTTTCTTCTCCCTACTTCTTTAACCACCTTAAGTCATTAGTTTCTTATATTCTTGCCAGATGATCTTTTTGATATCTCTTTGATCAATACAAGCAAACACTAGCTTCATCTAGCCCTAGAATTAATTATGAGGGGGTTGTCTTCATTGTTTAGACTTTTCTTGTTGACTATACTTATTTACTTTTTAAGAAAGTTATTTCTACCATTTGAAATATCTGTGTGTTCAATAGCTTGCTAATCTCTGGATTCTTTTTGGACATACTATTTGTTTGGATGGCTCCCTGTTGTTGAAACTCCTTCTATTTTTGTTGATGAATAGGGTCATCTTTGGAGGATATGCTTTTCTGAGAATATGATTGCAGCTGAGTTTTAACACCTTCCACATGCATGGATTTGCTCTACCCCGCTAGGTCTCCAGTGGGGTTAGGTGAAGTGGCTCCTACTGCCAAGTCATTCTGGCTCAGTGCCATGGAGGTGTGGTCTGTCATATGGAATGCAAGGCAGGTGGGGGTCAAGGCTAGGTGAATGATGAGGTGATTTGAGTTTTTAATACTGTTATTGTTTCTGATAAGAAATTTTTTGTGGACTTGTTTTTCATCATCTTTTCTTATTCCAGTTTTAATAACAATATATTTGACACGTTATTTGATGATTTGAGGTGGTATCTTCTAGGAGTTATGCTGAGAGTTAGTTTTTTTCTCTGCCATGTTTCTTTGTATTCTTAAATAGATTTATAGATGAGACATTTATGAAAGTTGAAAATCACTGTGGTGAGAAAAAATTCATTCTCCTGAAAAATTTATTTTATAACATTTTTCACATTAGGTACACACATACTGGATAAACAAGTAATGACAGGATAACTTTATAACCCAGTTGGAGATATGATTTATTTGTTTATCTAGCATTATCATTTTGCCAAAAGGAATGGGGAAGATGGGAAGGATTATAATTATGAAAGGGAATATATTTTTAAAAGTTCACTTAAGCAACCTCTTTGAGCTTATAGTGCACTGTGTAGAAAATAGGGATCATAATACTGGTGGGATGGATAGAGTGCTGGGCCTGGAGTTGGGAAGACTCATCATTCTGGGTTCAAATCTGACCTCAGACATTTAATAGCTGTGTAACCTGGGCAAGTCACTTAACCTTGTTGGCCTCAGTTTCCTCACCTGTAAAATGAGCTGGAAAAGGAAATGGTAAACCACTCCATTATCTTTGCCAAGAAAACCCCAAAAGGGATCACTGAGAGTTGAACATTACTGAAAATGACTGAACAACAAGAATTCCTTAATCTGTAATTGTTACATTGGAAAGCATGATATTTAAATCAAGAAATTTCTTTTATTTTTCCTTTAAGGCTGACAAAGAATTTGTGTGGTCTTTGTGGAAACACCTCCATGCAGCAAACCCAGATCTCACAGAAGCAATCAGTCTGGTTGTGGAAAGGTGAGTCCCAGGATTATTTTGAATAAATATTTGGTTTCAAGTCGTCCTTCAATACCTCGCTGTGGCATCCAGGTGATACTGAGTTCTTTAAGGCAATTCTAATTTACTTCATCCTTTTGGCAGGTTCTCCCAAGCTGGAAGAGCTTTGCGGAGAGACTTGGTGATGATCTCTGTAATTTCAGACCAGCCTAAATCATTTTGGAGAGGCTAGTCACCAGGTTAACTGCACAGTGATGGATTTTCTTGATCACAGTAAATCATGAAGGACATTTACTAAGAGAGGTGGTGATCTGTCAGTGGAAGAAATGCCCACACTGTTGAAATCTTTGAAGTATTAAAGAAATTATTTTATTGGTGTTTTTCCTTCAGCGTTTAAAGAGTCACTCTGGTATGTGAAGTAGGTTTTTAAAAAAAGTGTGTATTTTTTATTTAGCATGGTATCACAAGGGATGACCTTAATGGCTATCATGCTTAATCAACTAATAGATCATGGATTTAGAGCTGAAAGGACCTGAAACGATCATGTACAATCCTCCCATTTTATAGGTGAGGAAACTGAAGCCCAGAGAAGTGAAGTGATTTACCCTGGAGTCACACACAGATAAATAAATATCTTTAAGTATGATTTGAGCCTTGATCTTCATGACTCTAGGTCTAATACTTCTTTCATTATATTGGGCTTCTTTTACTTAAGAAGGGGTTCTCTCAATAGTCTACTTTGGGGACACAGGCTGCCTTTTGGTCTTCCTGTCACTGTGCTTTTGCTTTTACTGTATACTTCCCCATATATGTCCCTTGCTTGAAGTCTCGAGGCCTAGCTCAGGTACCATTTCTTCTATGAAACTTTCTTGTCAGCACACCCTACCCCTGCCCCACAGTAATGTTTCCTTCTTCGTATTTTTCATAGTTTTCCTGTATCTTTCATTTGTACTTATAGTTTCCTATATGTCATAGCTGTTTGTGTGCATACCATTTTATTTCATTAGATTGTAAGATTCTAGAAAGCATTGTCTGTGCCACAGCTGTTTTTATATGCCCTTCTTATTTGGAAAAAATATAGCAGCAGGAGATAAAGTTCTTGTTTAGAGATCATCTCCAATTCCTCCCATTTAACTTAGCTTATACTAACTTACTTGAAACGTTTAAAACTGAAATGTCTATAGTTTCAACTCAACTCTTTTAATGAGGGACAGAAAGCTTATTTTGGTAAGATTTTAATGTCATCCTTAGAGAAAGACTGTCCTGCCTACAACTTCCTTTAGGCATATACATTGGGATTTTGTATCAGAAGCTGAGACAGCCTGCAGACAACATTTATAATCTTCAAAGGGACAATATGATTCCTGGATCTAAAGATCCAACCCTAATATTTCTCCTGAACTCTCTGTCCTGAACTCCAGGCCCCACATCATCAACTATATATTTTACATCTGAAACTGGGTGTCCTATAAGTATTTTAAGTACATCCAAAACAATACATTATCTTTTGCCCTCATACCTCTATCTTTCTATCCTTCCTAGTACTATCAATACAACCGCCATCCTCTTAGTCACTTAGGCTAACAAACTTGTATCATCCTGAATTCCTCACTCTTAATTACCCCAACTGTATATATAATCTGTTGGCAAATCTTGTTATTTCTACTTTCACTACATCTGTCATATATGTCCCCTTCTCTTCACTTACATAGCTGCCACCCTAGTATAGGCCTTTATCATTTCTTGCCTATACAATTGTGATAGCTTATTAATTGGTCTCCCTTCTCAAGTCTTTTCCCACTCCACTCCATCCCTCACTTATTTTCCGAAGTTATCTGGTTTGGATTTATTATTCCCTTCCCCCCTCAGTAAACTCCAGTGACGACTTCTTCTATTCAGGACCAAATACAAAATCTTCTGTGTGACATTTAAAGCTGTTCTCAAACTGGACTCTTCCTACCTTTACATCTTCTTAGTTTTCATTCCCCTCCTCACACTTTATAGTCAAATTATATTGGCTTACTATTTCTTACACATGACACTCCCATCTTCTGGTTCCCTGCCTTTGCACTAGCTGTACCTTCTGTGTTAAATATTTTCTTTCATTACCTTTGCCTCCTAGCTTCCTTTAAAGACTTGGCTCAAATTCCACCTTCTGTAGGAGGCTTTGCCCAATTTCCCATGCTGCTAGTGCCTTCTCTTGGAGATTATTTTCCATCCATACTTATAGCTTATATATTTAAATTATTTACATGTTGTCCATACCTTTGACTATTATCTTCTTGAGGGCAGGGATATTTTTTCCTTTCTTGTATACATGGTGGTATAAAATTGAAAATTGATTTTAATTCTATTTTTTAAGGCTTAGTCAAGCTAGATTTAATATTACTCTTTGCTGTAAGTTTTACTTAGGTAACCTCAGATCACTTATCTTGTTATGATTTTGTAACTTGAATCTCCAGGGCAGCTAGGTGGTACAACGTATAGAATGTATAGCCTGGAGTCAGGAAGATGAGTCTTCCTGAGTTCAAATTTGGCCTTAGATACTTACCAGCTGTATGATCCTGGACAAGTCTCTTAACCCTGTTGACCTCTGTTCCTCATCTGTAAAATGAGCTGGAGAAGGAAATGGCAAACCACTCTTGTTCAAGAAAATTCCAAGTGGGGTCACAAAGAGTTAGACTTAACTGAAAATGACTGAAAGACCACAACATACTTGTTATGTCCACCCACCTTCCATCCATCCATCTTCACCCACCATCCATATTCTAGGGAAAGATCAAGCTTAATTGAAACTATTGTGGACTACTCGCATAGCCTGAAGACTAATCCTATAGTGCTTGGAATGCTATACCTCGTATTGCCTTTGTTTACGACCATGACAACTAGGGGCTTGTCTGGGATTGGGGGAGGGAGTCTGGTCCCTGAAAAAGCCTCTTAGGGAATGCTCCCCTGCCGCCAAACTCCCTGGTGATGTTTCTATCTTGGAGGGTGTACTCTTCAATGAAAACTGCAGTGGAGAGCGAACTCTCCCCTCAATCTCAATTCTTTGAGCCAGGGTAAGCATTCTGTTGGGAAAAGTTGCAACTTTGTTTGTTTATGTCTGTCTTGGGGTATTGTTTGTATTCAATGTGATAATTTGACAATAATTGATGTTATAAAGCCTGGCAAATTCCCCTAAGGAGTTTAAGAAATTTTTTACTTCTTCAAGGGGGAACTCTTGGCGTATGACGAGAAAGATTAATATTCTTTCAGGGAATTCTTAAACCTTAGAAAATTTGTTTTCTTTAAGGGGTCCCTGGCTCAGCCAGGAGAATGGGTTCTTAAGCTTTTGAAGAATTCTTCTTAAAGGGGGGGATCTTAGTTTTAAAGCTCAGAGGCATACATACTTCTCATTTAAGAAAGGGGTGAGAAAGAAAGGATAACCAAAATATAGAGAGCAAAATCATTCTAAGATATGTAAGTCACAAAATTGACCTGAAGAGAGATGTTTGTTTTTTATTTTTGTGTATGTACACTAATTCCTTTTTAAAGCTTCATCACTGGTGTTTAATGTCTGAGTATCTGTCTTGTGATTCCCACTTCATGATATTTAAATTACTGATAAGAGAGAGATGGTCTCCAGGTTTTGCCCTAAATACTGTCCTCCATTAGCTCATAAACTGGGTCCCTGGAAAAATGACTCAACCTATGGACAGCCACACCTACCTTGGGGAGGTATGGCACTATGAACCCAGTTGTAGAAAGCAAGGGGCATTCCTCCCAGGAGGAATTCACTTGTACCAAAAGCATCCACATCTCTGGGCAACCCATGAGTGTTTTCTTCAGCCAACGACTGACCAAAACAGGCCACCAATTTGAATGCCATGAACTGTCAGAGGAATTCCTGTTAGGGACTCCTAAACCTTTATTAGATCTATGAACCAAAGACCAGGCCTCTGACTAGGGTACTCAGCTGAACCATGTGGCCCATTGTCTTATGCCCATGAAAAGTAAGCACAGACCTAAGCGTGGAACATGAGCCTTAAACGTAAACTGGTCATGAATTGATTGTCTTTGTGGATGTTAAGCCTTTGTGGTACCTTAAAAACTGTAGAGTTTGTTTTAGGAGAAGAAAAGATTACATACAGAATGCTTTTTTTTTGTTTGTTTTAGGGAGAGAGATTTTATTTACTCTAGTTTTAAAAGTGTCAGACTGCTAGAAGTCAGCTTCAGTAGGATTTCAAAGACAGTTTACAGTTTGAACTTTCATTTTGACCTCTAAAGGAGAGAAATTTGTTTAAATCAAGGAGTGACTTGAGGGTGAGTGAAACTTAATCCTTTTAAGTAGCTTAAGTAAAATAGATTTTAAATATTAGAAATTATAAATCCATATTTAATTGGGTTCTGAGATGAAATTTTGTAGATTATGGCCACTTGTGTTGTCCATCTCAGGATCTAGAATATTTTTCAGTTTGTAGAGGAACCTTTTAACTTTTTAAAAAATAGATTGTGCAAAGACAAGCATTAAGCAGGTCTAAATTTCAGTGATCCATGTGACACTTGAATTATTAACTTAGCTTTATCAGCCATTTTCAACCAGAAATTAGGAAGCATTTTTAAAAAAGAATTACCCAGGGTGGCGTAAGAAAGGAATTGATGAGTTGCAAGATACAGCCCAGTGTGTCAGTGAAGGCAAAGATAAGGAAAAAAGAAAAATCTAAGCGTAGGGTCCAGGCTAGATGTTTCTACTACCTAAAAAAAGGTCATGTTAAGAATTATAAAAGAAGAGGTGAGTATATTTGTGGAATAGGTATTGCATAAAGAAGTAGGATTTGAGAAATAAAGATAGTCCTTAAAACTAGTCCTGGGGAATATCAGATTAGATTATTGCTGTTGAGCTTTATTTTCATGTTGCCACTCACTATTTAACACCAAGGCAATGTGTTTAAAAACTGCAAAAATAAGTTTTTGGCCATAAAGTGTACTTTGATCAAGATTTTTCTGTATTGGCCTTGAATGTAATCAATTTAGAAAGTCAG